GACTGTCCTGGTTAAAGTACTGTCTTCTCTCACAAGTCCTTCTATCACGTTGCTGGTTTTATCTTTTTCACAGCCCTTATGAGAGTATATTTGTTTGTGTTTACTTCTATCTCCTCCCATGAAGATGCTGGCTCTAAGGCGCTATTTTATCCGCTGCTATACCCAGTGCCTAGATCAGTGTCTGTACATAGCAGGTGCTTTGTTAATGTTGCTGAGATTCTCCCCTCTCCTGCGCATCTTATCATCCTTAAGACTCAGCTCAAGCGCCATGTCCTCAATAGGGTATTTACGTCCTCATGTGCACTGCCTAAAGTTCAGTTCAACAAAGCTATGGAACAGCTACTACACAGAGCTGGTATGTGCCAGTCACTGGGTGAAACAAACAGGACATGGCTACAGTCCATATGGAATTTATAACCTAATGGAATTCTACAAACCCAAGTGGTTTCTTCATCCTCTAAATGCCTGTGCTAATTATTAGACTATACAATCAGTGTTATAATGAATCATGATGTGCCTTGTAACATGTCTTCTATTTCATCTAAATATAATTTGGGCTTGACGCCCATGGCTCAGTGGTTAGGGCACCAGCCACATACACCGGAGGCAGCGGGTTCGAACCCAGCCCAGGCCAGTTAAGCAACAATGACAACTACAATAAAAAATAGCTGGGCATTGTGGCGGGCACCTATAGTCCCAGCTACTTGGGAGGCTTAGACAAGAGAATTGCTTAAGCCCAAGAGTTTGAGGTTGCTGTGAGCTATGACACCATGGCACTCTACCGCAAGGGCCACATAATAAGTCTCTATCTCAAAAAAAAAAAAAATATATATATATATACATATACATACATATATATATGATTTGGTAGCTGTGAAACACACAGGCAGGGATGCCGACTACATGCTGAAAAGCTAGGTTGTGCCTCCTCAGCCTGCCTCTGCTCCTCCGAGGATCCTCACACACCTGAGGCTAGAAAAGGGGCAGTCAGAGACCAAGAATCCTATTCTTTCCCCAGAACTGAGATTCTCTACATGAAAAAGAGAAAAATTGTTTGGGTGTTCTTTATCAGAAATTCAAAGTTTTGGAAAGTTAAAGGTGCCAGAAGATTCATGTTTTCTAATAAGCTGTATTTACACGTCAAATATGATAAAATTAAGTAATCTATGTGAAAATGCTTTGTGAAACACTTTCTGTATGTACAAAGCATACTTGGGGTCTTATTCAACTTTTCAAAGGCCTAAACATGTGCTGCTCACAGACTGTAAATCCTCGAGGGCGAGGGCCGTGGTTCACACTTCTTCTTTCTCTTCTGTACCACCTGGGCCGGGAGCCTTTGTTAGCAACAGGTAAGATTCCCAGAGTCGAGCTACTGATTCTTGGCTCTAGACTGGGTTACTCTGCCTTTCAGAAATAAAATTCTTTATCCTGGAAATGAGCACTGTGTAGTCTGTATTACAAATGATAGAAACAACTTCCAAAAAAACTCTAGAGAAGGCATCTTTGCTATTGCCATTAAGAATTTTTACAATTCTAAAACCAGAAGAAATACTTAAGTTATTCACCTTTCTAGAAATAGAATAAAAATTCCCCATCAAAAATTTAAATCATAAAACTACAGAATGATGGTTGTACCTTTTCTTCTTTTCTTTTTTTTTTTTTTTTTGAGATAGTCTCATTATGAGGCCCTCGGTAGAGTGCGGTGGCATCACAGCTCACAGCAACCTCCAACTCTTGGTCTTAAGTGATTGTCTTGCCTCAGCCTCCCAAGTAGCTGGGACTACAGGTGCCCAACACAATGCCCAGGTACTTTTAGTTGTAGTTCTCATTGTTGTTTGACAGGCCCGGGCTGGATATGGATGTGCCAGTTCCAGTGTATATGGCTGGTGCCTGAGCTACAGGCGCCAAACCAGTATCTTTTCTTTTTTGAGGCAGGATCTCGCTATCTTTTTCGCCCAGCTGGAATCCAACGCTTGGGCTCAAGTGAACCTCCTGCCTCACCCTCCCCACTAGCTTAGACTACAAGCATGTGCCACTGTGCTCAGCTGAATCTTATAATACTGATAACTGAAGTTTATGCTCATGTCCAGGGAACACATATTTTCTGTGAGAGAGCTAGCACTAGCATGGACATCTGTAATAGTGAAATTTTTATAGTATTAAATATCAAATGTAAATCTCCACATTAATTAATACAAAATTTAAAAAGTAACTAACATGAACACAAACCTCTCCAGAACAATTTATTCATCTTCTACAGCAAACACAATGCACGATTATCTTAGGTAAAACCACTTAGGTAAACATGGCATCAAGAAAACATGAACTTCTTGTGTTTCCAAATCTAAATTTTTACTTCTTCCAAGTGAATTTGCTACTGTCACATAAGAAAGAATTCTAATAGTTCATCAAAAAAGGCCATTGAAAAGATCAGGGATCTCAAGGTACTTTTAGCTTTTAGAATTGAAGTTGAATTCATGACCTATCTGACCGTATCTTGTCAAACCCATCCAGCCTACCTCTCTAAAATTAGTCATGTTCTAATCAGCTTCAACGAGAAACATTTCTCCCACTAGTCCATTAAGTTCAAAGAGTTGGCAGGTGAAAATGAGAATTCTATCTCATCTGTGTGCAAGAAGGGAAGCTCAGGCAATGACTGAGAGACTGGGTAGCAATGGCACGGGAGAGAAAGGAGGCAGGAGCAAAGACTATGTCAGACACTGGAACAGGCCACAAGGCTCAGTTAGTACATGATCACTTATTCTTTGTTTTGCTCTGAAAACAGAGCGTGTTGACACGCTCATTTATTCCTTGTTTTGCTCTGAAATAAATAATAAAAATGCAGACACTGGGTTAACAAACTTAAAACTTTTGCCAAAGCCTAAGTGTTACTCAGAGGGCCTAAAGTTGACTGCCAGCACCCGCAGGAGTTTCTAATTACATACCAGCAGGTAGAGGCTCTCATAGTGGCTACCTGTTCTTGTTTTAACTATTAATGGAGAAAAGCATGTAAAAATCTCCTTACCTAATGACAGTTCTCAGTTTCAATTATCAATGGCCTCTGCTTTTACTCTTGGTTTCTCAATGCAAAAACCAAAGACCATAGAAATTTTTCTTGACTAAATTAAAATGGTCCTAAATTCAAAATCAAGAACCACAGAAGCATTTAAAAAATTTACCCTTGGGTCACTGGAGGTAGAATAAAACTACAGAATACAAAGAGGACCTTCTTTTAACTCACTACCCTAATCAATAACCAAAGATTCCTACAATGACATCTCTGGTAGACTGAATAATGGACACTCAAATACATGTATGTCCTATATCCCCACTCTTTTGAAGGGTAAGAATGCCTTAGAAGGGTACTTCTGCAAATATGATTAAATGGGAAGATTATCCTGGATGAGCCAAGAAGGCTCAATATGTCACCAGGGTCCTTATAAGAGGGAACTAGAATCAGGAGTAAGGTATGTGACAGTGGAAGAGGCTGGAGTGAGGTAAAGAAGAGAACCAAGCCAAGGAGGGCACGTGGCTTCTAGAAGCTGAAAAAGGCGAGGAGATGGATTTTCTCTTCAGCGCCTCCAGAAGGAACCAGTCCTACCTAGACCTTGGTTGTAGCCCTGTAAAACTCACTGCAGATGTCTGACCTCCGGAACTGTAAACTAGCAAATTTGTGTTGTTTCAGGCTATTACATTTGTGGTAATCTGTTACAGCATAAATAAGAAATTACATTTTATCATACTTTTAGGGACTGTCAAGCCTCACAGGTATTATTACTATTAATTTCATTGAAGCTACAACAAATAATTACAAAAGGGGGTTTGCAATTGTCGGGCCTTTCCATGGCACCCTCTTCTGTGGGAACTGACAGCATCCAGGGTGCTTTGGAGAAAATAAAATAGACATAGGAGCAAAGGAAAAATGTGATTTTATGTAAGACGAAGCCTTTAATTCCTGCCTACTCTGTAATGAAATAGGGCAGGACTCAAAGAACTTACAAACTATGTGAAAATTCTAAATAAGAGTGCAGCTGTCAGCCTAAATAAATAGAAATCTAGGTGATATACAAAAATGAAAAAGTGAATGGGCTGATTACACAAACCTTCAGAAAACTCACCAACCTGCCAGGCAGGTTGCCTGTAAATGTCCATTTAGGCATTTCAATCTATAATATGATACAAATCTAAACTCTCAATTCCTACTCCTATTAAGGAAAGGGAATCTGTAGAACAGCTTTATAGCTTGGCTCTTCAAGATAATTCTATTCCAGCTGTATTTCAGTTTTCTGTATGAGATGCCCTCCCTTTTATCTGGGAAATGGAGAACACGCAATATGTAGTCCAATACTAGAAACTGTCAGAAAGTAAAAATGGCTTATTTTCATACATATGGTCTCTTGTGTAGACTGTAGTCACTTTCTTCCATCAATAGGTGGTGAACTTGTATCCATTAGGCAAAACGCAATAGTTTACTAAAATTGAAGCAGAAGCAGACTGAGGCAGTGAAAAGCGGTTTTCTAGGCACTGTCAGATGAGCAGACTAGCGAAATTTGAAGAGAAAAAAAGATAAACTGGCTCTAAGCCTCCATAAGATCGATTCTCCCCTAAATTATCACAAAACTACAGCCTTTAGAAAAGCATGCTCTACAGCAGCAGTGACAAAAATCACCCTCAACTGAAGGTGAGAGGGTGTCCAGTTTTAGCAGTTTTCATTTCCATTTTATTCTATATTCTTACTGAACAAGGACTTGACAATCAAAATAATAGAATTTTGATTACCAGCCTTTCCTTTCCTTCTTCCCAGCCCAATTCCAGCTAATACTACATAAAAAATAAATACATTTCGAAAGCTTATCAATTGTCAGGCTATTTTTTAAAATCCTAAATTTGCCTTACTTTCATAATACTTCTTTATGAAGAGACAGAAATTGACAATCACTTAAGAGTCCTGAAGGAAGTGCTCCTTTGTCCCGATCCCACATCCTCTGCAAACTTCTCACCTGCTATTTTGATATTCAGATTGGCATCCAGAAGCAAATTTTCAGCTTTTAAATCGCGATGAACAATGTTCCGACAGTGACAAAAATAGACGGCTGTGACGATCTGTTTAAACTTCCGACGGGCCTCCTTTTCTGCCATTCTACCATGAGCCACGAGGTGGTCTGTGTTGAAGAAGAATACAGTCAGTTCTCATGTGGGGCGCTGGTTCAATTTCAAAAGGGAGACTGAAGGAGGGATGCAAAGGGGCCATCAAACAAGTGACTTAAAGAAGAGAGGAAACCAAAGGAGAACAACAAACTTGCAGTCCTGGTTTGTATCTATAAACATTCATTTGTAGTAAGTGTCCAAGCTATTTTCAGAATAAATCCTGTTTGCACAAAGTATGCATAAGAATATACTTGCATGGATATAAGAAAAACAAAAGCGTTCTCAGGGTTACAATGATATTTTTCAAGGGCCATAGCATGCAACACCTTCCCTGTCACATCTTCATTGCAAAAGATCACATATACATGAGCAAACACACCCATCAAGATCAGTAGCAGAAATATTTCCTGTGTTAAAGGGTAAGTCAAAAAGCAAGGTCCTAATAATCGATCATTTCAGGGAAGAGTAGACAGAAATTAGTCATTGCTAAGGGGGAAACGGCTTTATACAGGACTCTATTTAGGCTACTATCTCGTCTGCTTTCTCAAAGTTTTAAAATTTGACATTAAAAACACATTTGGCCATTATTCTCTAGAATGCATAACAAGATGCCTATATTTTTTGTATTTGTATGTATTGAGCTTATCAAATTTTATAAAACCATGTTAATTTTTATAGATTACATCAATCAAAACCCAAGTGACGTTTCTACCAACTTAAATGGGAACATTCAACTTGCGATAAAGAATTTACATGCGATAAAGTCTGTAATACTATGCTATCCTCAACATTTAAAGATGATTTGAAAATAATACATAAAAATGATTTTACTGATTAGTAATTTCTTTGAGAACTTTCCAAGAATGGCAGTAAGTTTATGCTGAACCAGTAACATACATGTCTTTGACCCAATTCTTCATCAAATCAACAACACACACAGGTTGTAACCGCTACGGGAATTAGAAAGATTAGCTATGACACAGTACGTTCTGTTTGAAATTTCTAATAGTCTTATCACGGGTGTCCTCTAAACAACTGATCTAACTGAGAAAAAGGACATGTTTGCCATTGTAAGCAATCCTAAGGTAGTAAAGTGAAAAATTAGACAACACAGATACAAATATTATTGTTTACTTATCAATAGTGGTTTACCAAGAATACCCAATGATTTTTGGTGATATTTCCCTCGCCTAGAAGATTAGTCAGGCATATCTTTTCTTTACCACAAAAAGTAAGTTCAAGGTAAAACGGATTTACTAGCAATGATGGCCAAGACTGAGAGCTTGGGGCCAAAAACGGCAGGCAGAGGATAAAGCGAGTTGGATGATGACACATCCTCATAGCAGTTTTTGAAATAATGCAAACTACATTCTGAGCATAAGAACATAAAATCTTAGAGAGCAAATAACACAGCAACTTTAAGAACATGTCTAAGTAGATAATTTAAGTTATGAAGAAAGACACCTCAGAGGAATTGCTATAATTTTTGTTTGTCACGCACAAGATCTTGGGGAAGTATTTCCCTCTTGTTAGAGCCATGATTACCAATTTAATGGAAGAAAAGGAGAAAATAAGTCTTCAGCTTAGATGTTAAAAGGACCAGAATATAGCTTTCTAAGCGAGTTAGAGGTGGTGATAAAGGACCTCACACTCTGGTGTATTTGGGCTTCTGGTGAGATCTGTCATATCATCGTTAAACAACGAAGGCCCCAACTAGTGACAGTAACGTAACATAAGCTGTTAAGGAACTAGACATTATCAGAGGGAGAACGCTATGTTTTATTTTCAGAGGCCATTCTCTAACAGTACCTGCTCCTTTGACCCCCTATTTCTCTTAACCCAAGGCCTAATTATTCTAATAATATGTTTTAGTTGCTAAACTCTGTCTAATTAAAGAGCTTTGAAGAGACAGCTATTCTTGAGAAACATAAAAATAAACCTTCGTGAAGGTTTACCATCAGAAGCTCATTTGGCCAAGCCACCCATTAATTAAAGTGCCCAAGAGACATTCATCTGGCAGTAAATACTAATTACCAGAATACATCAAAGCACTTCTTAAAGACGGGAGAATGATTAATTTTGTGATTTCCAAAATAAGTGATTTTCTTTTATTAAGAAACTCTTTATAAATTTCTAAGTACCTTGTTTTCCTAAAACGATTGGAAAGTTCTCAAATTGTTACGCAGGCCAGGAGCTGGTGGAATGAAACCCAGTCCTGTTTTGTAACCACAATTTGTCCTTGGACAATACACTTATACTGCCAAGCCCCCTGCGTCTAGATAGAAGTTCACTTTTAAATAGAAGTAAACGCTCTTGCATGTTACAGCCAAAGAAAGGGTAGCATATCTGGGGATAAACTTGCACTTTGATTAAAAGTTACTATACATGACAAAGCTTTACTTTTCAAAGATATTTAAAAAGACATCTTTTAAAAGGTTCACTCAGTACCATATAGGAAGCCGCACTTTGGGAGGCTGAGGGAGGTGAACGCTTGAGCCCAGGAGTTTGAGGCCAGCTTGAGCAAGAGTGAGACTCCCATCTCTACAAAAAATAGAAAAACTAGCCAGGCGTTGTGGCGGATGCCTGTAGTCTCACCTACTTGGGAGGCTGAGGCAAGAGGATCGCTTGAGCCCCAAAGTTTGAGGTTGCTGTTGAGTTATGATGCCACAGCACTCTACCCAGGTCAACAGAGTGAGACTTAGTCTCAAAAAAAAAAAAAAAAAAAAGAAAGAAAGAAAAAACAGAACACTATATAGAAAATACTTAAGCATTTGGTTAATAGATCACAAAAGATCACAGGATTCTATAGTGCTTAAAGGTGATTATATGTTCACTGTCACCATTAATGGTTCTGGTTAAAAGGTATTTGTGGTAGTGCACTGAATAAAACAGCTCAAACTATAATACTTTTCCCAAACTCACCTCCAATATTTCTATAGTTATAGATACAAGGAAGATACACGGGTCACTTAGTTTTAAAAAGCACAAGCTGCAAACACGCAAAGACTAGATGTTTATTCCTGGCCGTTGTGTCTGCTGTTCAAGTTCCTCCTCTTTGGGAACACTGTCCTCTTCTCCACATACAGGTACCTCTTAGTGGCTCCATCTCACTCAGATCTTGGCCTCTGCTTTTATTTTGGCCCATTTCATCCACGCCCCATCACCACCACCCTGCCCCTTGGTTTGCTTTTAGTGTGACCCTCTGAGGCCTAGTGGGTGTGCCGGGAGCCAGCCGTCTGCAGCGGTTTGCAGTCCCTGCTGAAAATTGCCTTTCAGCTGCCCACTGACAAATGGCTGCTTTATATTCGTATGTGCTCTATAAGCAGGCGGCAAACATTCTTCAAGTTCAAATGTGATGTTTAACTTGCAGTGAAGAAATCCACAGCAGTGGCCCAGCCTGGACTTAACACACAGTCACAGCCTTTGAATAAATACTCGAGCACTTTCAGACGGCAAATGAAACAAAATGGCTCCTGAATCTACTCAGCTTTCAAGCTGAAATGTATTTTGAACCCTGTAAGGATAAACTCCAGCTTCAAGGACCTCTGAAAGCGCAGTTCTGCTTCTTCCAGGCAATTCAGTGAGTTAGCTCTCCTAGATACTGGGCTACAAATAACCCACAGCCTTAGTCCCAATCACCCCACACGTAGATACGAGCCTTGCTTCTGGCATTTCCCGGCTCCTGACATCCCCTGACCCACAATCTAAACAAATCTCATTCAGACACTTGCAGCATAAAGTCCATCACTCAAAGTCTATTTTTCACCATCAATTAACCACGTATCTATTTAGTTACCCTCATAGGCCTAGAGCACCTTTAAAGTTTGCTTTTATAACAACTCCAATAATCTCGACTGGACAGGGATGAGGTGGCTCTTGGTTAAAAGGAAAAAACAGTTCATCTGTTTCAAGCTCTTATCAAAAGCAAAAGAGTCTGAGTTCTCTTTCTCACTTTCCAATTACCATAAATGACTTGGCATGTGACTTCTTTAACCTTTTTATGTCCTCTTCCTTACAAAATAAAGAGACATTAGTGATACTAAGGGACTTAATAGCCCACGGGAAGCTATACTGGCTGTAAAGTATCCAGACAGAGATGCAAAGTACACATGGCTGGATACTTTCACGACAGCCCTCATACTATCAGAAATAGAGGAAATGAATTCTGAAGTTTCAAAAGTATTAGAGCACCAATTCTGTCCCAGTCTTACTTAGGGAGAAACATCTTGGGGTACACTTAGGTTCTAACATTTCAAAGAGCAAACACAGAGCAGCGCCTGTGTCTCAGGGAGTAGGGCGCCGGACCCATATACCAGAGGTGGCGGGTTCAAACCCAGCCCCAGCCAAAAAAAAAAAAAAAGCTGCAAAGAGCAAACACATACATAAGCCGGTCCTAGCTTCCCTAGACCAGCTTTACTGGAGTGTCAGAGGCATGCCACTAATGGGATAGTGGTGGAGGGCCAACAGTTCTTAAAATAAGTCACTTTTCCACCCTTACCTACAGTGTCTCCATTTGTCTAAATCTGCAACTCATAGCTGATGCAAAAAAAACAGCTGAAAATGAACATCCTCTGACACCAGGTCAAACAACAGGACAGAAAATTCTCATTTCTCATGATGAAGAACGGACACAGACTAGAAAGGAGAAAAAGCAGCATGTGTGCTAACCTTAGGTGACTACCTGAAAAACTCTGCCAATTCCAAGCCAACCGCAGCTAGCAGCTCTTTGCTTGGCCACTAAGTTCTATCATTTCTTCTTCCTATACCCATGGAAACGACATCCTGTTTACCAAACAAAAATGCTTCTTCCCAAAAGAGCCAAGGCAAGGCCAAGATAACTCAGCTGCCTGTGAGCAGGTTAACAGGAGTGCGCTTACTTCAATATCCTATTATGCTCTTAAGCCTAAGCCCGGGCTGCTGCTCAAGAGAGGAAGAGGCTTTGTCATTTTGTTTTCTTTGGAGCCCAACTACCTCATACCAGGCTTCTGGACTTGGTGCTGGATCTTGTTATTAA